CAGAGTTTCAGTTCCCAAACACCTATTGACCAACTCAAAGTAAAGACCTGAGCATGTCGATTCATTGGGTTCCCTTACTGTGTTCATTTCTCCGACCTTTGCATTCTATCCTTGGATTATGAAGTTGGCATTTTGGGCTTGATTGTTCCATCCAAACAATAACAGTAATAGAAGCCTCCTTCTTGATGTCAGTGTGGCATGATGGTTCAGGAGGTGTCTTACTTTTTCATGTATTATCATCATCCTTCAGGTGTTCCCCACCCTCCCTCCACATTGACAAACCCAAACGCTGGGGGTGAAGTTTTGATTCAATGACTAAGCAAGCTGATGGACATGACTAGTTAGTGGCTCCCGATTCATTAGTTGTATGCCTTGCAAGTGAGTAGTCAGAAGCATCAACTGTGTCTATTGCCTTTCACGGTTTTAACAGTGAGATAAGCACACAAAAATAATTATATGTTACAATTGTAATAATGTTTCTTTTTAATTTGACTTATGATGAATGTTTCAGGTCTGAGATTAAAGAAGCTTCTCTGGCACACGCGTTGGCTTCCTACCGACGGGACAGCATTTGTTTCATGTGATTAATAATTTGTGTGGAAGAGAAAATTTATCCTTGGGTAAGCTCATCCGTCTGGCGGTTTTGGATGATAGGAGTGTTGTGTATGGTGTGGCAACACACCTTCGTTGCTCTATTCTTGTAGTTATATTGTTGTTAGAAGCTGATCTAGCACCAAAATTTGGATATGCTCATCTGTGCTAGACAAGAAGTAGGACAGGGAACAGTCAATGCATATCACCCACTTACTATGTTTTTTTTTTCTTAAAAATATAAATCATGATGTTTTTTTTTTCATATCTAGCAAGCTTCATCCATGTTCACATTGATTGTCACCCGCCCTCCTCGACCTGAGTACCTAGTTTTCTATACTACGTCTCGGCTCGTACTTCAGTTCTAGATTTAGATTAGTTTAATAAAGTGGTACTAGAAAACATCACCATCGCATGCATGGACAAAAGGCAAAAGCGACAAGAAATTGGAAAGAAATGGTGCAACACTCGAGACATGGCTGAACACAAATCTTTTGTAATTAGAAAATTATCTAGTTAATGGAAGAGGACAAGCGCAAGTTGTGCCTCAGTGCACTCATCGCAAGAAAATGGTCTGAGAAGTAGCAGGTCAGTATGCACAATCAACAAACTAAAAGCAAGTAGGTATGCACAATCAGCTAGATTAATTAATCTCTTTGATTATATTGATGCTTAATTACTCCTGCCTAGTAGCTTGGTTGCTTGTGACTGTTGCATTGCAGCAAGTGCTACCGTCAACGAGGACGAACTGAGTGGACTTAAAACGCAACTTCCTGCTGGATGCATCCTCAGTTCAATATTGCCTAGTGCAAAGCAACGGTAAGATAGGATCAAACTTGATCTTGTATTTTTGTCACAAACCTCAACCCACCATCCATCACATGTATCGATGCTATGGTGGTCCAGTGCAGCGCATGCGAGCACCTAGATTGGAGTTTTTATTTTGTTTCCTTTTTTATTGCTACCTCGTACTTTCATGTTCATGTCTAACACATATATAGGGCATCTTTTTTCATAATGCACACATTGTCGATCTCATGTTCAAGCTCGTCTGTTCATGCATGGCACGGCTTAAATGGCACAAAGGTCTTGTTGTAACTTGCTTATCTATCTAATAATACGACTGATTCACGGTCTAAATAATTTAGGCCATTGGCATCTATCTATCTTCTATCTATTACGGAATATATATACTAAAAGGAAAATACAGGTCAAATATAGAGAAACTAGCTAGAAATTCCCACAATAATCAAAAAGATCTGATCATTGATTATTAGACTTAGAATTTATAGCCGTTAGATTTAAGTAAAGAGGTATTTTTTTCATTAGAATTTTGACCAATATTAGTAAGGTAATCTTGCAACCCTGTGTTTACGTGAAGAATAGTCTGTACAAAAAAAAGTATAATCGCGTAAAGGATATTTTTTCACACTAGTAGTCACGTAGGAATTTTTATTATTTATAAAAGAATAGTCACCTAACAGGACACGGACTGCTGTAGTTGATCGGAATTTAATAAAAGCAAACAGTGCTTAAGACGTATCTCGATCCGCAGGATACTCGCGCCTCCATCCAAAACAAAACAACATCGTGTATGCTAGCTTTTTTGCCTGTTTTTCTTCGGGGACTGTGTACGTGGCGGTTTCTCAAAACAAAAAAGGGTAGTATGTTGTGGCAGAGATAAAAACGTGTACGTAGTTTTCTTTTCTTTTGAAGATGCAAAACCAAAAACACAAGACAAATACATTTCTTATCTTTGTTCAGTACAAAACACAAAAAGGAATACAAATGTTTCAGTACTCAATTCACGACAGAATTTTATATAAGGCTACACGCCATGCATGCTCTCACTTTATAGTAGCAGCCTTGAAAATTCAATGCAGACGTAAGAATTATAAAATCTTCACAAATTTGAGTACTAATTACACAAATTCCATTAGATGAGCATACATTGATTGCATCGAATAGTATGGATCGAGGTACCACGAAGATAGTTAGGGAAAACTTATACAATAGTACTCCCTCCGTCTAGATGTGTAAGTCATCTTAGTTGTGCACCGCGACCAAGGTGTAGTGGAAAACGAGAGAACTTAAAGTCTTTTTGCTAATTAATAGCATTGCATGCAATGAACTAACCAATGCATGTCATGTTTGTTAGTCTCAAGTCATTAAAAGCATTCACAACCCACATCTCTTATTGGTTGATATGTCACGAAACAAGAAATGACAAGGAAGTTAATGTACCGTGCCTAAGTGTTTTAAGATTATTTGGTTTTCGTAAGGTGACTTATACACCTAGACGAAGGGAGTACTATGACATAGCAAAACAGAAGACAATTTGAACCCTACAAATTTATAGCAAGTGCTGATGATCCTCACACAATATATGCTCTCTGCACAATTTCTATTATCAGCAACGTAACAAATTCCTTTAGTTAATATAATTTTTTTGGACGTGTGATTTGGCATCATTGATTAGCCAAACCAAGGCCTTAGGCTTATAGTCATACACAAAACAACAACTGATCTACAGACCTATTCTAGAGAACATAGAACACCTGATCTAGTGAATTTGCAAATTGTTGGTTGATTTGGTTGGCGTTCTCTCAGCTCGATGTGGGACTGGAAACTGAAACAATATCATTAGTTATTTTTTCATAATACATTTTTAGTTATCTATGAGCAACCTAATCATATGTTCATATACCGAATAAATATTGAAGTTACCACTTAAAAATGTACCAATGTCTAAAATATTGTGTATTATATAATAAGAGCGGTAAATAGGAGTGTAAAATATGTGCAAAACATTAAAAAAATCAACATTTTTCACGCAATAAAGATGTAGACCTCACATTTGCGAGGGGTGACCCTCCTAGTGTATATAAAAACTGTTTTGGGTGTATACGGAAAATGTTGAATGTGTACTAAAAGAATGTTAACTGTGCTCAACCAAAAAGAGACAAACGAAAAATGAGAAAAACAAATAAAAATGAAGAACACCCAATAAGAACGAAAAATAAAAATAGAAAACAAAACAAAGAAAATGGAAAACACGAAGAAGCCAATTCAAAAGAATGAAAAGAGAAAAACCCTGAGAACTCAACAAAGATAACCGATGAAAACAAAAAAATATATAAAAAGGAAAAAAGAAAAGAAAAAACAAATAGAGAAATAAAGTAATAAAAACAATGATTTTATTTTGAGAAACCAGTAAAAACCGGGAAAGAAGCAAAGAAAAAGTAGAAAACCTGAAAAACCATGAAGAAACAAAGAAAAAAAAAGAAGCCAGCGAACTCACTCTATTGAACGAATCCATGAAGGAAACATACCAAGGAAAACAGGCTACAGTGTGTACGCGAAAGCTTTAGGCGAGACGGAAGAAACTGTCACACTAAGCGAGATATAGTCCGCGCGGCCCACACATCCAATAAGGTTTGCCACTGCCCACCTGCCGATGCTCCGGCACCTCAGTAGAACCCCCCTGCAAACTGCAGATTCCGTTCATTCCTTTGTTCCTTCCGAGGAAGTTGATGGACAGGAAGGATCGTCTCATAACTACCGGCAAACTCTCAATGGTGACCTGATGGAACTGAGGAAGCTTCATAGTAAGCACAAGCTTTGATGTGGATGCAATACGCTCATCAGAGAAGACTTGACCTGGCACTGGACAACGAAACTTTCTGGTTTCACATGGCCTTGTGGAATTTCGAGGTAAATACACTCAAATTACACTAGGCTACCAGTCTTTGTTAGTGTACTAAATGTATTCGTTCACAACATCGATTTGAATAAGCAGCTTGCTTGGACAAACCAGAGTTTATGTATCTTGTCAAGAAGATACAAAACTTTCTGGTTTCCCATGTTTGGATGTTCAACATATAAGATACTCCCTCCGTCCCAAAGTTAGTAGAAAGTCGAGATTCTTATTTTGTTTGGGACGGAGGGAGTATAACATTAGATTTCTCTTGCATGCTCAGTCTTGCCCTGCTGCCATCTGCATCTGACAAATCACTCTGAACCCGAGCAACACAACAGGTAGTCTGTCGTTTCACCCTTAAGAAATACTCCCTCCGTCCGGAATTACTTGTCCCTCAAATGGATTTATTTCAGAGCGCACGTCATTGCTTCCATGTGAATATGCTGTCACGACTTTCAGCAATATACAGACGACTCCAAGTCTCCTTCTCTATTGTTACCTTTTGTTGGCATATAAAAATTGGGCTGTCAAGTTGGGGACCTTTATTTTGCAGCCGTTGGGGCTGTTGCAGTTGAGGTGCAAGTTGGACATTTAAAGATGCCTAAGCCATCTCTGTGTCAAAGACAAAGAAGCAACGACCACACCTCAAGCCATACAACAAGATCCAACCCAGCCTAGCCTCTGAAGATTTGAAACACCAGCAACCCCAATGGCGCAACTGGAGCAGCCAGGATCAACGAACATGACCAAGGCGTTGGAAGCTCTTTCGCCGTGGCTCGAGAACCCACGGAGCATAGTCACGCAAGTGGAGGCACTCGTCCTCGCCGCAGCCGTGCTCCTGCTCCTCCAGCTGCTCCTCTGTTCCTGCAGGCGGCAGTCGAGCAACGCCCTCATCCAGGGCGGCGCGTGGGTGTCCTACACCATGTCGTTCCCTCTGGTCACCTACGCCTTGGGCATGATGCAGACTTCCCCGGTGAAGAATGTCATGTACCCCGTCTGGGCCGTCTCCTTGTTCCTGGTTGCTGGATGCACCAACGTGGTGACATCCTACGATCTTGACGACAACAAGCAGTGGAAGAAGCATCTGTTCGAGCTGTTTCAGTATGCCCTCTACTCAGCAATTAACATTAAGCTGCTTTTCCCTTATAGCACCGCAGAAATATTCAGTCTTGAGGCTAAATCTATCGAGTCTATATCCATCACCCCTGTTATCATGATCCTCAACTTGATTGTGCTGCTCACAAATTTTGTGAAAGTTATCTCGTGCTGGAAGGTAGGCGTTGACTTCTCCACCATACGAGTTGCTCATTTCATGAAGCAGCAGGCCAGAGAGGAAGGTCCTAGTGTGTTCAACCCTGAAACCATGGAAGGCTACAAGTACCCTATTCGCTGCGGTAGAGACGTAACAATCGGCATTGACGAGGTCTGGAAATCGGAAAGCACGCTTTTCAAGTCAGGTCGTTCCACGAAACTGAAAGATTTTTGCCTATCATATGCCTTGTTTAAGCTCTTGAGACGGCAGTACCATGGGATGGAATGTGCTGAAGCCGGCCTTCCTGAAACCCGTGATTTTGTCTTGAAGGGATTGCTGCTGAAAGAAGACGACTGGCATATTGCAAGGGCGTTCAGGATTGTAGAAGTAGAATTGGGGTTCTATCATGACTTTCTCTTCACCAAATACAGTATCATCACTAAGTGGGAGAAATTGTTCTTTGCAATGTGGATTCTGAGGATACTTCTTATATCTGTTGTTTTACGCTATGTGACCCAGAATTCATTGGCTGTCATGACGAAAGCTGCTATCATCGAGGTGCCTACCAAGACTGCTGATACTCTCATTACTGTACTTGTTCTAACCATTATTCTCGTGGTTGAAGTTCTGCAAGCTCTGCTTTACCTGGTATCAGACTGGGCCAAAGTATCATTTACCAAGAAATATGTCAGAAACCCTTCTTACCGGGTCAATGCTTTTTTTCTGAAGATTATTGTTACCATCAGCAAGTTTAGCATTTTGAGTTATTGGGCAAAACAAATTGGACAGAGTTCGGTGATTTCAGACAACAAATCTTTTGCCAGACATCTGCAGTATGTCACAGAACGCCCTCCACACCCACTTGTGATGTTGTTCAGCACCTCCAATCTTGGCAAAAGGACAAACAGGGTGCGCGTGTGTAGCTTGGTCAAGGGAGCTATGGCAAGGTCCATTAAAATGAGTGAAGATCCTCTAACTAACGGCAAGTCATCACTAGACCGCAATGGAGTGCTGGGAGAATTCTTGTGGGCACTGAATGGACAAACTCAGACAGAGATCATGCTAATTTGGCACATTGCGACTGAGTACTGCGATATTGCTCTAACCTATGCTGCTCTGCCTAATGCCAAGGAAACAGATAAAAACATAAAGTGCCACCGTGAAGTTGCAGTCTGGTTGTCAAGATACTGTGCATACTTGATAGATTCCGCCCCAGAACTGCTTTCAGACTACATAGATACGGAGATGCCCATAGCCATGCTGATGCAAGAGATGCGCAAAGCTTTCGGAAAATGTACATCCACGCATGCCAAATTTGAGGTCATGAAGAATTTAGAAGAGCAGGAGAAGAAGACCATGTTCAGGCAGGGAGTGAAGCTGGGGAAGCAGCTTGAGTGCTTGGATGCTGCTGGGCGGTGGAAGGTGATGGAGGAATTCTGGTCGGAGACCATCGTCTACATTGCACCATCAGATAATGTCAACGGGCACTTGGAACGCCTTGCAAAAGGGGGAGAGTTTCTAACCCACATCTGGGCTCTGCTATCTCACGCTGGCATCCGGGCGATAAACAGGGAGCAAGATAACAACACCATGCCCAGCCACCCATCCCAAGAAAATGTGTGATTTCATCTGGAAAGGGAAAATATGGAATTATTCGAGTTTTTTCTTATTTGTAATTCGAAATTGCGTGTGCGTTTTCCTTTCTTATGGAAGAGTAAATTACAGTTGTAAATGTTACAAACATCTGGTCGCTATACTCTCCTAATGTTTAAATTGTGTGTTGAACACTTGGCTTTGTTGTTGCTGCTGCTGATTACTTGGTTCTGAAGGGGTTTCTGAAGAATAGCTTCTGTTAGTCCAACAGTCATAAATCAAAATTGAGCAATTTGGGTTCGATTGGAATGCAATCGACAACCATTAAAAAATTGATTTTGGTGTCATCACAAAATTAATCATGAATTGCTACCAGTTTTAAAGGCACTAATCCTATGCTATGATTGGATTATGAAGAACAATTCTTGGCATCGACTTTTTTTTTTGCGGGGGTGGCATCGACTAAATTTAACAAACACAAAACTTAGAAACTACAGGGAGTACCAGAAAGGTTACCTTTGAGTTGTAGAACATGGATTTAAAATCAATTCATTTACTCTGATCCCAATCTAGGCAGTCCCTCATCTGCTGCTACAACTTGTTGCTGGCTACCGCTGCACAAGGCGAGGTGAGACAAGCACGTTCCGCCCAAGGAAATGAAGGATACTCACGCGAGGCGAAAGCATCCATCGGCGACCAGCTCCCTGCTAAAACCCAAAGCATTTGTGCCTATTTGCGTTGCTGATCCGTTTCATGTACTATGTGCAGGTTGAGGAAGAAGCTATGGTTCAAGATTCGAAAAGGGGCGTTCAGCCTCCTCTGTTTTCGTCCCCTGTCCACACCGCCGTCTCCTTCCAAGCCTCCTCTGTTTTCCTGCCCCGGTGCCTCACCGCCCACTCCTCTCCGCGCATCTGCTCTGCCCATACTTGGTGCGGCCCTCCACGAGAAGCACATAGACACTGGCCCACCTGGCCCCACATAAAATGAGCCCTATCTGCACTCCAGCCAAAACCCTAGTCACATTCCACTCCACTCCTCTCCCCTCCAGTCCACTCCCTCCACCCACAAGCTCCCGTCCGTCGATCTCCTACCCTCTAAGGCATGACGGTCAACAGATCCAAATCGTACACCTCCAGATCCGTTGACCTCGAGCTCATCCCACACTTTAGAAATACTAAGTCGGGTGGCAATTTAGTAGATTATAAGCCAATGTTTCATCAGTTCAATTATCCAGCTAAACAATGTGAATCTAGGAAAGAAAAAGAACTGAAATGATTGGTTAGGCATTCTAGCAGCCACCTTCAGTGCACGGAAACAGGAAATGCCTCATCAGGTGCAAGACACAGCTTGTAAAGTAAAGCTGGTAAATTTGGTACGCTCACCGCTCACCTCACATGGACCTTTGAAATCGACAAAGGGCACCGGAGTCGGGGAAGAAGTAGGCGGTCCACCTCCCGCCCGCGCACCGGCCGCTGTTATGCCGCTAGTCTACCAGAGATACAAGAATTCCTACGGAGGAGTCGGGGGTCTGCAATCGAGGTTGAGGTACAGGGGTGAGTGAGCCTGTCGCCGCTGCCGCCGAGGAAGACGAAGACGAGATCCCGTTTCCGTCGCCGTTGCCACCGCGGTGGGTCGTCGAGTCGGACCGACAGCGGCGAACCAACACATTTGTCTCAAAAAACTTGCAGCTATACGGGTCGAGAGCAAAGCAACGGAAAGCCGGAACAAATTTCAGACGGCGAAAACAAAGACTGTAAAGGGAATAAATTCAAGAGTGGACAAATTATTTGTTCAAGAGAAAAGTATATTTTTCGTCCCTCAACTTTAGGTGAAGTCTAAATTTGATCCCTCAACTCCGAAACCGGACAACTTGCATCCCCAACTAACGAAACCGGACAAGGTTCGTCCCTGCTCTCGATTTTGACCGGTTTTAGTGCTGACTGACCCCGGTTTTGACCGGTGCTGACTCAAATTCGTCTAATTTTTTCATATCCATGAACTTTTTGAAATTTGTGTACTGTTTTCAAATCAGTGTATTTTTTCAAGTTCGTGTGATTTTATCAAATCCAAGTACTTTTTTTCAAATCTATGAAGTGTTTTTGAATTTTGCGTACTTGTTTCAAATCCGCATACTTTGTAAAGTTGGTGTATTTTTTTAATCCATGTTCCTTTTCCAATCCATGAACTTTGTTTGAAATTCAGATACTTGTTTCAAGTTGACATAATTTTTCAACTCCACACATTTTTTTTCTATTTTGCGTGAAAGAAATTCAAATCCGCGTACGTTTTCAAGTTCGCATAAAATTTTCGAATCCAAAAAAATGTACGCGAATATGAATAAGTACGTCAATTTTAGAAAATTACACGAATTTGAAAAAACCACATGAACTTTAAAAAAGTACGCGGATTTAAAAAATATGTGTACTTGGAAAAAGTACGCGGATTTGGAAAAAGTACACAATTTTTTTAAAAGTTCACGTATTTGAAAAAGTACCCGAATTTGAAAACATTAAGCGGAATTAGAAAATGTACGCGGATTTGAGTCGGCACGGTCAAAACTGGGGTGTGACAACACCAAAACCGGACAAAAACCATGACTAGGGATGAATCTTGTCCAGTTTCAGTAGTTAAAGATGCAAGTTGTCCGGTTTTGAAGTTAAGGGACCAAATCTAGACTTCACGAAGAATTGAGGGATGAAAAGTATACTTTTCTCTTTGCTCAACATGTTCTGCTTAACACTAATTTCTACTCCATATCCGAAGAGCAAACGATGCTTTAGGTTCGTCAGGGTTGACAAGCTACAGTTAAGTTATAGCATGTCACAGCTGGCTGTCCACTCTGAACTCTGAAGCAGCAGTTCGTTACAACACTTGAACCTTTTATTTCTCAGGTTCTTTGATTGGTAGCTCGAACTGAACCGCAACCATTAAATTTCAGACTTGTAACTAAGTTTACAGTAGGCTTGCATGATTTTCCGAGGCTGCATCACCGTCGTCGTCGTCGTCATCATCTCTGGTGTGCCAACTTCTGTCCATTCTCTGCATGCTCCGTCGACCGATCCGGCAAGATGAGCAGTGATCATGGTGGACCATCGCCAAAATGATTTGTGTTAGTGATGAAAGGAGTGTAAAGAGGCATTTTTCAGAGAGCGAAGAGATCCAATATGATTTGTGTTAGTGATGAAAGGTGTGTTTCATGTACATGCACCACATGATGCACGCTTGAGAACCTAACTAGTTCATACTGATGCTGCTCAAAACAGTGTATATTTTTACAAGGACTAAGTGGGGAGGTGGAGGAAGATGGTGTGGTGGGGAGCTTAGCTCACCAGTGGTAGCGGCAAGCAAGATCCGGAAGTGGCGGCGGCGCCAAGGTCTGGCCAGAGCAGACGCGGTGGAAGAGATGGTGGCGAGGCAATGCCATAGGAGTGGAGAAGGCGGTGGCGGAGGCTGGAAAGAGACGGCGGTGGGGAGGGAGGATCAGGCGGTCCTTTGGGGAAGAAAACAGAGGAGCAAGTGTCTGGCCTCATCAAAAGGAGGTGAAACCTGCACGATGATCACCCAACATGCTCAGTACCAGAAAATCAACATGTCACAATGACAAGATGTAATGTGACTTCACTAAACACACACTGAATCATCACCTTTTGATGTAATTACTTACCTTTGGAACGACGGATGAACAACTGCAGCTCCGGCGAGGCAATTAACTTCTGAATGCCAACTTGTCAATTCACTGTCTAATTGTTCTGCACTGCAGGAACCGAGTAATGAATGTAAGATTCAGAAACTCACGAATATGAATGCTCTGTTTATTATCAATTAGATTCGGTCAACAGGTGAACCTGCCAAAGTTGTACTTGAAACTCTGACGGATGTAAGTGAAACGTCAACATAAAGCAATCTCCATAGTCTGCGTGCGCATAATGTAATTGGCGGTCGGTGGTACCATAATCAACCTGTTCCAATGTTGCACGAAACATGCATTTATTAGTATTCAGATATATTCAGATAAAAAGGCTAATTAAACATTCTTGATTTAAACCAACAAGAATGGAGAAAAAAAAGGGTGTGCTTCCTACACCATATACACTAATTTACAGCCACTTGTATCATCTAAAACTCTTCAGATAGATGAATATACCTGAACAGAGGAGAAATTGCTCTTGCACCCAAACTGATTATGTCGTGAAACAAAAGCTGCCCAGTCACTAGGAAGTTAGACAATAAGCATGCAGACAAGCGAATCGGCCGATACTCCGAGGAACCAATGAAAAGACTTGTATGATCTGAGACCTGAAACATACCACAAATGTTAGGATAATGATCACACTCTTAAGTTAAAAGAAAGGAACATTTATGTATAGCAGAAACAAACATGCATTCACCTTAAGGACATCAAAACATACGCTTCCATTTCTGTTATAGTTTGGATGCAACAACCAAGTTCTGAATTTCCAGAAGCAAAACTGACGGTTGGCTGTAATGGTTCTGCAGAATCCAAGTTATAAATGTAAGACTCACAAATAGGCAAGGTAAGGGACTAAGAGGATTCATTGATATAATTCATTACTTTGAGTTGGTCAGTTGATGAACCTGAAAATTAGGAACTGAAACTCTGAAGGAGGCCAGTTAGTGAAACATCATGCAGTTGGCAGTTGGTGGTACCATGAACTGACCAAGAGCATGAAAAATGACGCACCTGTTCCAATATTGCATATAACGTACACGTTTTAGAAGTTTGAACTGAGATATTCAGAAAAGGGTGAGGGGAAAATAGTTGCATTATGCCACCAAAAATGAAGCTACTAAGGTGCGTTGCTTACACCATATGAATTCAAAGCGTTTTGTCTTCCTCTTCCATGATGCTTTCCACCAGCTGATCATCATTCCAAGACTCCAGTGTTCATGGTAGAACCACACAGCTGCTACTTTAGGATACTTTTGTTACTGTTATTGTTTGGTTGGAGCAACCAATTTAGTACTGAATTCCAAATCCACTGTTGGCCCTAATTGTTCTGCAGAACCATAGTAGTAAAGAACGTTAGGTTAGAAAACCAACATATAAATGCTCAGACAAACCCACATTCCAGATGACACTGTATCTAACCATGAATGAAAAATACATAAGCATGCATTCACCTTCAGGTCCATATATGGATATAGTGTCTTCTTGGTCTTCAAAATTTTGCACGCAGCATTGCAGTGTATAAAACAAGCAGCACAACTGTGTAGAAAACGAAGATATACAAGGTCAGATAGCTGTACAGTGTATAACTGATATGCACATCAGAATGAGTACAAGTACAGGTTGGTTTTGTGCGCGCTTTACCAATTAACCGGCCGGCAAATGGATTGATTGACTGACGTGTGGACCTGCAACATGACTTGCATTGATCCTGACCAGATGGTGATCTATTGTCTTCTATCTCTGTAAGAGTCAGCCGAAAGGTTTGACGACTTATGTACACGATGAGGTTGAAAGGAGCAGCTGTGCCCGCAATTTGTTTTTTACTACAACATGCAATTAAGCCACCTATCAGAGTTAACAAGGTGTTATTTTTTTTTACTGCAACAAGTTATTGTATAGTTAGTATAGTACAAAACAGTAGAATCGTGGGAGATATTTCCTTTCCTCGTACATAAGAAAAAAAAGGGAAGCATGCTAGATAGATAGCAGGAGGCGTGTTGTTACCTTGTGTTACTCAGAATCAGTATCAAAACCTGGTAGGCTTCCCTCTAATTTCTCAATTTGCTCTTGTAACTCGGGACTGCAACCTGTTGCGCGTAGTGCCTTCAGTGAAGTGGGGAAGGGGCCCTTTGGCAGAGATTGGACTTGAGGACAACAACCGACAACTATTTGCTGAAGAGAAGGAAGGCTGTATAACCCCTGAGGAAGGGACGGCAGATTCGGGCAATTCCGAACAGTGAAGAACTTAAGGGATGTGAGGAGCTCAAGAGCTCTCTCTTCCTCTCCCGTGAAGCTTTCCGCCCGCTGATCATGAATGAATATTAAAACCTCGAGGGTAGCGGCGAGGAGGGTGCAGATGGGAGCAACAAGCACCGCTGAGATGCAATCCACTTTAAGCAATCTCAATCGGAAGGAGCCTGTCGGCAATGATAGGTTGGTCCTTGCTCCCGCCAATTCCGAGAACATATCCGCTGATACAGAGCGGCCAAGACACTTATCTGTGTTATACACCATCAAATCATCAAGGTTGACTCTGATGAGAGGATTGAACCCATCCATTGTTAAATTCTCGCAGTCCACCAGTTTTAGACTTGTGAGACAAGTGAGGTTTGAGAGAAGAACCATTGACTGCATGCCTGACTCTCCTTTGATCTTAAGTTCCTTGAGGGAAGCAGGGAAAGGCCTGATGGTGTGAGCTGCTTCGATGGGCCACCGAAACAAGTTGGGACAATCCTTTACTTTAACTGATTCGAGGCAAGTGATATCCTGCAGTCCAGGGCACGTGATGCTGCATTCGGAGAAATATAATCTTGCTATGGATTTCAGTTTATTGAGCTCCGCTGACAGCCCACCACTATACCCATCAATGATCATGTGCCCTTCAGAATAACTAAGCAATGAAGAAGGAAGTGCCACACGACAAAATGTCAGCGTGGACGTGTGAGGCATGGGTGGCAGAGACAACTTTGGGCAATAACGAGACATTAGCTCCCCAGAAAGGGCACCACGCAGAGATTGGGACAATCTACACATCTGACGTATTCTAGCCTTGAAAAAGAATGGGCATTAGCTCCCCCAACCCACTCCACAAATTCAGGTAAACTATCAAGAACGATCCGCTTCAAACACACAAAGCTTTTGTCTGTGACGGCACCAAAGCCAGGTCTGATCTCACGAAGTGCAGAAATCCTGATCAATGTGAGTGACGTGAGATGCAATAGCTGCCCAAAAGGTGGAAGGGTGCTCCAAGACACACCCTCTAGGTGGACAGACCCCAGCCTTTGATGCTAATGTCACCACGCAACCAGCTAGGACCAGTCATACCACCATGATTTATAATGCTAAGTGCACCAAGATTATGGTGTGGCTGAAGAGCATCCAGAACATCAGATTCTGTGCTATGTTGGTGATCTGTACCCCAACTAACGTCAACTCTTTCAAATCTCTTTTACACACAAGCTTGGCTTCTGTAGCTTCATCCCTGGTTGCCACCTTCTCAAGATTATGTATGCTGAGCTCTCCTCCAAGCTCTGTGAGTTTCCCCAACTCTGTCAGTTCAAATCCAACACTCTCTTTTTTAACACAGAACTCTTTTAGCTCCTGCAAACATTTCATCTTTCCGATTCCACGAACATTGTATTGGAGTTCTTCGTCAACAAAAAGATGGCGCAAATTGATAAGGCGGCTAATGTCATTAGGTAATTTATATCTAGAATGGCTTGTAAGGTCTAAGAATTTCAAATGATAAAATGTGGATATTGTACTAGGAAATGTCATTTCGTTGTACTGATCTGGTCTCATATCAATTTTTAGGTATCGGAGGTGGATAAGTTTTGAAAAGTTTGGCAAAGAGTTTTGGGATTTCGCTACTATATATAGGACACGAAGACCCTCTATTTCCTTAAAAATATATTTCAAAAATCCATCGGTTGTTTCTGCAACAAAAATCATCAAAGCCCGCAAATTGCTAACGTCTATCTTGCTCCTCAATTTTACCATTTCTCCCTTAAAGTTCTCTTCAATTATATCTTTCATTGTGATGGATAAGTGTCGAACAGTTTGTGGGATGGCATCAACTCTAAAACTTGAACGGCATATGTTGAGGCACTCTTGTGACGAAACATTTCGAGACAGTTCATGTAATAAATCGTGCATTACATAGCATTGTTTCTCAAAAAAATCAACATCCTCCACAACAAAACCATTATCTACTAGTTCCTCTAGATAATTCTCATCTTTTTCTATGATTCCTAGTGCAATCCAAAAATACGTAATATCTAACTTGTTAAACTGAAAATCTTCGGGGAACAAGGAAAAATATGAAAAACATTTTTTTAGATGAAAAGGAAGGTAATCATAGCTAATCCTTAATGATGGCATAATGTCATCAACATTTTCCTCCTTTTGCCACTCATTGTTTTCAAGAACTCCATTCCAATGTTCCCGAGAAATGTTCTTCCTCAGTAAACGACCAACTGTTCTGGCTGCTAGTGGTGAACCCTTCAGTTTATTTCCAATATCTCTTGCAATATCATCTAATTCCTCCTGGCAATACTCATGCCTGTTTACCCCAAATATTAATGATTTAAAGAATGTGAAGAAGTCATCAGACTCTAGACCTTGGAGTGCTATTGGGCTGGTTGTTTTCACCATTTCAGCTTTAGCTGGAAACCTAGTTGTGACAAGAACCATGTTGCCCTTGGCTTTCCCCTTCATGAATGGAGCTAACAATTTTTTCCATCCCTCACCATTGCATTCCCATATATCATCAAAGACAATTAAAAACCTTTTTGACTTGAGTTTCTCTGTTATGGATATTTGCAGCTGATCTAAGCTTGTTGTCTGATATTGAGAGGTGCTTCCTTCTATGCTGCTAAGGATCTGTTGGCTGAGTCTAAGCTCATCAAAATCAGTTGATACACATACCCAAACCCTAACAGCAAAGTGCTCTTTTATCTTCTTATCATTATACAGATGTTGGGTGAAAGTTGTCTTTCCAATACCCCCTGGACCAACTATAGGAAGAACAGAAAGGGGTTCACAATGCTCTGTGGCAGTAGTGAGGATATCATCTACAGTTTTCTCAAAAATAGCTCTCCTCCACTAGTAGAAAAGGGGGCTTTGGTCCAGGCCGGGTAAGCCCATTTGTCCCGGTTCAGTCCAGAACCGGGACCAATGGGTGCATTTATCCCGGTTCGTGCGGCTAAGGCATTAGTCCTGGTTCACCTGGGCCCTTTAGTCCCGGTTCATGCCACGAACCGGGACTAAAGGGTGTGATGCCCATTAGTTCCGGTTGGTGGCACCAACCGGTACTAAAGGTTAGACCTTTAGTACCGGTTGGTGCCACCAATCGGGACTAATGTGCTTTGAGGCATTAGTACCGGTTCATGGCACGAACCGGTACTAAAGGTCCCATTTTCAAACACCCCCCCTGGACCGCCTTTTCAGTTTTAGAAAAAACAAAACAAAATGATGGAAATGTCAAAAAAATAAAATAAAATAAGTTTCCCATGTGATATGTGGTCTAGTTGTTGGGAAAATTTACAAATATGAATTTCGACTTTATTTACAAAATCTCTCTGGCATTTGTAAAATGGGCATAACTTTTGCATACGAACTTGGATTAAAAAGTTTTTTATATGAAAAATCATCTACTCGAAAAGTTACATCCGATGAAGACGGCCTATGGCCTGTTTGCAAATTTGTAGAATCCTCAAATTCCAAAAGGAAAAAAAGTTATGCTCAAATTTCAGTTTTTTTTAATTTTCATTAAATCTGGTCAAACTATGGTCAAACTACTTGTTCAAGAAGTATTAGTGTTACTAAATAATTATTCAAGAATATTAGTGTTATTAAATAATTATTTCAGTTTTTTTGAATTTTGGTCAAATCTGGTCAAACTATGGTCAAACTGTGGTCAAACAATGGTCAAACTACTTATTCAAGAAATATTAGTGTTACTAAAAAATTATTATTTTTTAGAACAATAGTTTCAAACTTAAACAGTGAAATGTGTGACTTCATGCTCAAGCTAAACTCCTGAGGGTTAATAGGATTGACATCTTACTATTGTCAGGAAAACAACGAGTGCGGACTTGGAAACGAGGGAGAATAGAACCCAGAAGTTAAGCGTGCTCAGGCTGAGGGAGTGGGAGGATGGGTGACCGTCCGGGAAGTTAGATGATTTGGAATGATGAGGGGTGATTAGAGATTAAATTGAGCAGTGATGAGGGGTGGTTAGAGATTAGAGATTAAAATAATTCAGAAATTTGAAAATAAAAAAAATTAAAAAAATTTCAAAAAAAAATCAGAATATTTCCTTTAGTACTACCGACCCTTTAGTCCCGCTTTAGTCCCGGTTCGGGAACCTGGACAACAAGCCCTTTTTCTACCAGTGCTCCCACACAATGTATCTTGGAAAATGCTTGACCCTATGATACGGTGTCTTTGGGTAACTGTTGTGGTGGTGCTTTGGTTTGGAATTAGCTGGAGCAACTTGGAGACACGGTCACGTAGGGATTTTATTTCCTCTACCACTGACTTGATTTTTTTGGACATGATAACTCTATCGAACGACAGCTTAGCAACTGGACCATCATTACCATCACTACCAGGGTTCAAAATTGCATTGGGTGGACTATCAGTAATGACAGCAGCAGCAACACCATCATCATGGTCTTTCATGCGCGAACAAGAAAAGCATGCAAGACAGTTACCGACAGTGTAGCGAAGGGCATGTCGACCGTGGCGAGCATGGCCACGGAGGTCATCACCCATGTCGGGCACCGCATAGTGGGTGCCGTCGAGCTGGTCTTGGATGATGAAGTAGTGGAGCTCATCCAGCGCATCCTCAGCCTCATCGGCTTTGGCGCTGAGCTCCTTCAGCAGCTCCCGCAGACCGTTGTTGTTGCTCACACCCTTGCCCCTCGCCTGGGCCTCTTGCAGTAGCCCTTGCGTGAACAAGAGATCACGTTTCATCTCCGTGTAGTTGAGGCCGAGCTGGGAGCTGGCAACAAACGCCTCCACGAACTCATTGGACAGCAGATTGAGCACGCTGCCGATGAGCCCGTTCGCCGCGCCGATCGCCGCCTCCATTTGCTCCGGTGCCCAAAAGGCAGGTTAACTATGGTGGTTGGTGGTATGTATGACAGAGGTTGTATGAGCAAGCTAAGATAGCTGTTCGGATGTGTGCCTCTGGTGGGTTGATGTGATCCTCTGCAATTAGCGATACCTAGTAAAGTTTTGTGCAACTAAGAGAGCTAGATCTGAAATTGAAGCACGGGCCAGGCCAGCATAAGAAAATCAATCAGGAATCCGAGGCAGAAGACAGTCCATGTGCTAAGCAACAAAGCACGGGACAAAAAGGTGCAGAATTTTAAAGGAAGAAGAGCAGAGTGACCTGCTGCATTGACTCGATGGAAATCGCTGCGACCGAGCGTTGCTAATGCCTTGTTTCATCTGCACACGCGCGTGCATGTGAGGCGATCGATGGTGAACGGGATGGGGAGCCACAGCTCGTTTAGTGTCTGGACAATCAGGCTTGGTGTTGGTGATCGACATAGACACACACAGCATGAGTAGATACAGATCCATGAGGAACGTGGCCATTTTTCATTAGTTTTTTTTGCATGGTAATACGTGTCTTATTTATATCATAAAGAACAAAGTACAAGTCACGTAAAGACCAACATGACAAAATTGAAAAGATAACAAAACATCTCTGAGCTTGACAGCAACGCCCGTCACCTGTCTCCAGCACCACCACAGCAGCCACCGAAGTAAAGAATGACGGATCGCCTCTTCACCCGAACTCGACGCGGCTCCATCGCTGATAACCACTAGTATTGTTTGCAAAGAGGATGTTCTTCTTGTTTAGTGTCTGTACTCTTGCTCTTGTCATCCTCTTCAGTTAACTCATAATTACAGTAGTAAGTACTAGTACTAAGCTAGCTAGATCTAAAACGGAAGCACGAGCCAAGGCAGTATACAAGCGAATACTGCCTTACTCGATGGAAGGAAATTGCTGCGACCCA